AATTTTGCCGAATGAGTGCAGCTTGCATTCCCAAAATCATAACATAATATTCTTGCCATGGTAGCCCCTGTACGTTTTGAAATTCAGGTCGCCATGTGATCACGATAGTGCACGCGACATTCTGCTGTTGAAGCCTTATACTGCAAAGATTTAGTTGATATTCCAACCAACCTTTCTCACAGATCCTTATTTTAAAAAACTGTTGCAACATCTCTTGACGGCTTCAACAGTGCATGCATGGAAACCCACAAGTGGCCGGGACCAGTGCAAAGTAACAAAACATGATCTTTCTTTGATGGTCGTATAGGTACCTCTGCGCAACCATTTGTTGAAACGATGCGACCTGGTACATGACAAATACTATGCACTTCAATGAGTTCCCATGCTTCATCAGCCAGTATACCTGAAGATTCAGGCAATGAAGCCACATCACATTGATCAAACTATTCAACATTATGTTGCATCAATATAACAAAGCTGAGGTTTCATCCATATAACACACATTTACCACTGAGAGCATATAAGCTGGTTTGGTTTTCGTAGCTGTCACTGCCTCTATGATGGTGGCTGGCCATACCTGACTTGAAATAAAAGCCAGTGAAACGAGCCCTTATAGGAAACACTGAAGCACGCATGATGAGTTGGAACGCCCATTAAGCTGAGTGCAGTTGGCAACTGCCACTTTGTGAGCATGATATAATATGTTGCATGTTTTTTTTTACATTGTTTTTGCCACAGTGTTTGCTGGGCTCATTGCGCCTGCTGATCCAGCCGATTCTGCATCGCACGGTATCCATGGTTAAATATGGTTATTTCATGAAGTTTTAAGTTTTATAAGGTGTGTTAAGGTATATATATTTTTTTTTTCTTAAGGGCTGGATCAGCTATAGCGTTTCGACCATGCCCTGGAGATCACAGGATGCTCTCCAGCGATCTAGCCAGAGAGCCCATGATCTCCAGGGCATGGTCGATACGTTCCCCCTGCTCTTGCCGCTCCATGGCCAGCTGGCGATTTGCCTGGGCCTTCTGGTACTTCCAGCCGCGACGCCTTCGGTTGCTCGCATCTCTGATGCGCTTCTGCCTTGGAGCGGCCAAGGGCATGAAAACACATATCATCCCCATGATGTCTCAACACTGTGAACTGCACCTAAACTATGCATACTCCAAAAGCATATCCAACAAGATGAGATTTGGGAAGTAGAATGTAAACCAACTTCGCTAGAACTTTCACTGAATGCACGCCGGGAAGACCTACATGTTGTTATAATGCAATATGTCTATGCTTTGTCCAATAAGAAAGTACAAACAACGAAGGTAGTAAAGGTGAATGCCAACGACTGCAATAGTATTGCAATAGTATTGCTTGCGAGCATAGCCCGCAAAGGCAGTGCAGCGAGCAAGGCCCGCCTGCACCCTTCGACAAGTATATAGATTCTGAGAACTGTGTGTCTAAGTGTATCCAGTGCAAAGAAAAATAAGTACAAACAAAAAGACGTTGAAAAAGACAAGATGCGGGTGGCTGTCGCCTTCCTGCCCAGTGCGCTCCATGGACCAGCTCACCTCTCTGTTCCTGGGAATCGCAAGCATGGGTCGTTGGTTGCATGCATGCAGGGAAGCAAGGGAAACTTCATAACATGGTCTGCTTTGCAAGGACCATCGATTCTAAAGTTTAAACATTCTCACTGTTCACTGGTTTGCTGCCCTAAACAAAGTGTATATATATATATATTTGCTGAATGACTGCGGTATCTTTAAAAAAACAAATATATATATATATATAGTGGCAAACTTAACTATACAAAGTATGCAGCCTAGAATCGCGCTCCATCCATCTGATTGCCACGTCTGTGACATGGATGCTGTGGCCTGCCAGCTGCCATCTGCATCATGCCACGTTCCAGAGGGCTGCCACTGCCCATCAGAGGGCTGCCACTGCCCATCAGAGAACTGCCACTGCCCAGAGGGCTGCCACTGCCCAGAGGGCTGCCACTGCCCAGAGGGCTGCCACTGCCCATGGCACTGCCCATCTGCAGAGGTCTGCCACGGCGGCTTCCAGGTTGTGCTCTTCATGAGCTCTGGTGCCGGCCACTTCGGACCCCGTGACTCGTCTTTCTCAGCAGCATCCTTCTTGGCCTCATAGGCGTCCACGTCGACCACCTGCTGCTGCTGCTGCCGCGACCCCGCCGATGCCCCTGCCCATAGCGGCGAGGTCGCGGCATGGCCTTGACCTTGGGCGGATTCTTCGGCTCTGGCACTGCCTGCGGTGGTGGTGGTGGTGGCATTGGTGGTGGCATTGGTGGTGGAGGAAGCTCCATGCCACCACCACCTGCATCGGCTGCACTCGGTGCAGCAGCCGCCTTCATGACACCTGCGTCACATGAGCCACCTGCATGATCGGCTGCACTGCTATTTGGCCCATCGGGATCTTTCGATCCCTTCGGCAATTCACTGCTGAGGGAATCATTCACCGCCCCGGCTAAGTCACCATCGATGAACTTCTGGAGGATGCGTCCTGGGACGTAGCCTGCATGCAGAAGCGTGGAAACAAATTGCCAAAGCCTACATGAGTGAAGGAAATATGTTTATATTGCCCTGTCCAACATGCAATGAGTGAAGTGTATGTTTATTGGGCCGCGCCTCCTGGAATTTCAACGTCCTCTACAACCTTCGAAGCAGTGCCGCGAACTGGCATGCGCTCCAGCTTCGAAGCTGCCATTGTGTCCATTGCGTTGCCGAAAAGGTCACGGAGAATTACGAACAGCATTTGTTGGAGTGCATGAGCTCCCCATGGGCAATGCACTTTTGATGTTTATAGCGGTATATTGTAATCAATTAAATTGTAGGGTTTCCCAGAGGGAAAATGGTGAATGCATCTATATCGGCGACCCTGCTATACCATGCTCAAGGTGGGTATATATATATATATATATATTATATTACATATAAATATAAACCATAAAACAAGTGACAATCGACCTATACACACAACAAAAGGTGCCGACATGTCGCTGTCTTCATGACATGCGCTGAAGCCCAGGAGGAATGCAGCAGTTTGTGAACATGTCATGGTCTCATGCCTGTAACTTGCATCAATAAAATTGGAATTGTTTTCAAGGGATGGATGATGCTGAACTCTTCTTCACATTAATTTTATCCTCTGTTTTTTTCACTCCAAATTTCATTGTACCTTCGAACCTCACCAGGCCCCCCCCCATAGTGTCCTGTGGGGCCAGCTGAGCCGCGGAATCATTCAGTATAGCCTGCATGGGGCGGTGAGCAAATATCCATTATAGAACTCGAACATGTCTTGCTTGGTTTAGGTCATGCATGCTGGGAAGCAACCACAAAATATATTGGGCCACATTGAAATCCACATGGAAGCAAAACGGCACCCACGGATCTACCAGAACGGCTGAACGAAGTTGAGTCAAAAAGATCGTGTTTTTACTCCGTGTAGCATGCCTTCACGAATGTTTCTGGCAAAAAATGCGCATATCATTTTAACATGTTCAAAGACAATGTGGTTTGAAACTTATCCCTGCGAGCAAGCCCGCAAAAGAAGTGCGGCGAGCAGAGCCACGCCAGCACCAAGTGAAGTATAGCCAAAGCTGAAACTATGATCTTGCAAGATAGATCAGGCATGGAAGGCGGCGAACAAAAACGCCTAGTGCACCTTGGTGAAGATCTCAACCACAAGCTAGTCATGGCTGGCCTGGGCAGTGCCGAAAATGAATGCAAAAAACCTTGGCGGCAATGAGCAAAGATGAAAAAACAAACTTGACCTGACCCATGAAGCAATCAGATTTCCCAAGCTGTTCCCATGGACTATGGTCATTGAAATTCAAGCAAGCAAAAAAAAACAATTTGCAAATACAAGCTGTTTGATTGGAAACGTCTCTACGGAGCAAAGGTCTGCATTCATAAAAATTAAATGGGCAGCACGCCTTCTCATTCCAACTGTTTCTTATAAGGCCTGGAATCAAAACAGCGTCAGCCAGCAAAACAGCCTGGGCACCCGCACTAAAATCGTAAAACAACAAGCCTTCAAAACATGGCATGCACCTACTGCAAAGGAGTGTTGAACCAAAAAACGGCGAATGAAACACTCAAATGATTCCGCTGGCCAACGTGCGGCAACCATTGCGAAAAACGTTTCATGTCATGCATGCCCCTCTTGACAACGAAAAAACTCTTCATGCAGCATGGAGCATGCATGGCAACCTCAAAATAAAACAGCAAATGTTTATATATGTCACATTTGCCGGATATAAAAGAAAGATGCCAAAAGGTCGATTTGTGACAACTATATTTTTGGTTTGAATTGTTTCTCCATGACAACCAAAGAAAAAAAATAAGCGAACAAATCAAAGCTCGAAGCCACGCAGGCCGACGCATGCCTCTGAAAATCAAGGCTCACATCTCACAAACAAAGCTTGCAAGGCCCAAACTGACAAGGTTATGTATGTTGTTTTAGCTCAAAAAGTATCTTCCTCTAAGTAGGCTAAGTGACTTAGGCTCCATGCTCCGTAAGTGACTTAGCCCACTTAGAACTAAGTAGGTTAACCTACTTAGGCGACTTAGCTATAAGTCCGCTAAGTAGCCTAAGTCAATTAGCCATAAGTGGGCTAAGTTGCCGCGTAAATTTATATCTACTTACATAAAATGCTATCTACATAGGCTAAGTGCTATGTACTTAGCTAAGTGGACTATGTGTCACCAATGACTTAGTCAACTTATATGTAGACTTAGGCTACATATAAGTATACTTAATGGACTTACTAAGTACATTACTAAGTACGCTAAATATCATAAGTACTTACTAACCAGGCTGATTCTCCAAGTAGCAGTCATATCCGGAAACGGTGTGGGACATGTCTTCGCCGCTTTGGCCCGCAAAGAGATTTGTTTTTGTGCACAAGGGAATCTAATCAGGTGCTTTATTTTGAGAGTTTTAATTTGGTTTTGTGCTTTGCCGTGATGGAACGACACTCTGCGCCAAGGTTACTGCAATTTATGTGACCCTTCCTCTGGTTGCTGTTGCTGCGCTGCTGCACTTCCCGATCGCGTGGCTGATCCAACGGTTATATCGTAGAACGTCATTTTCGGAGGCTTTGGATGAGTACCGGAAGCAGATCAAGTGCAAGCCATTTCCAGGGCCTGATGGAACCCATCCTCGCAACCAGGGCTTGCAGGTTCTGACTTTGCGCGGCTTGTGGATGCACTTTGAGAGTTTCTCTTCTCACCAGCAATGCTTTCGTCGAGCTCGTGTGCTCACATAACTAGCTCATACTAGCTCGTTTCTCATTATAATGCTCGGATCTGAATGGATAGGACAGAGTACCTTCTTTTTGTTCACGTCAGCAAAGAATCGTAAGAGAAAACACATGTCCCAACTTGTTCAACTCAGGCTTTATTCTCGAGCGCAATATGCACTTTGTGGTTGCCAACATAGTCAGGCCCCTAACTCAAAGCAAAGGAGTTTCCTTTGTAAGTCTTTGGGGTGGCAGGCAGGTGGATTACTTTGTGTCACTTGGCATGCTTTTGGCAAAGTTGTTTTTGAATTGTTTTCTTCCAACGTTTGTGCACCTTTTGCCCAAGCCCTCCAAGCCTCCCCTGCGTTTTGGGGAAGGTCCCATTCCTGGGGCACGAGCTTTCCGCACTTCGTGTGTTCCATCCAATGCCATGCGTTGTCCAAAGAGGGCCCCACTTCTTGGATTGATGCAGCATATTGGATATGTTCGTTTGCACCTTGGAGGAGAACACTAGCCCATTTTCACGGTGTTATTTGTGTTTGACGATTATATAATGGCACAGCGTGCTGAAACCCTATAATTCCATGGAGGTTGGCATTTGCACTACCATTTCCACTACCTTTAGTGGTGGGTTGACCCCCTTGTACAAAGTGTGTTTTCGGGCCTCAAGTTGTAAAGAAAATTGGGGTTGCTCCCCCCGACTGTGTAGAGAAGTGATGTCTTTTGGGATCTATGTTTTCCAACAGTCATTTTGTAGAGAGCCATGTGTTTCAGATAGGTGAGGTGGAGAAGCATTTTGTAGGGTCACTTGGCTTTAAGGTAACCGAAGGCTTCAGTTTGTAGAAAGCCAAATCTGCCTTTTTTTGGTGGAAAAGGATCCGGCATGCCATTTCTGCTACAAATTGGTATGGCCTGTGGCCATTATAGAGGCTCTTTATTGTAATTAGTCAGGTTGTAGGGAAATCTGAGACCTTGGGCCATTGCAGCTTGTAGCAAATTATGTGATTCTGGGTCCGGGGTCCATTCCCGCCGGACTCAAACATGTTGCAGGGAGATTGAGGCACTAAAGTGATGACTAAAGTGGTTGCCAGACTTTTTTTTCAAAGCAGAGCTTCGGTGCTAAACGGTTTCGAAAGTAGAACTTGGTTGCCAGAGAGTTTTGCAAGCAGAACTTGTGTGCTAAACCCTTTTGTAATAGGACTTGGTTGCCGGAAGAACTTCTGTGGAAGCCGTACTATCTATGCCAGATACATGTTGTAGACACTTCGGGGTACGCGCCCCATTTTGTAATATAAACAGGGGGCGCATAAAGTATAAACAGGGGGTGCATAACCCCTCCACCGTTTTGTAAGAAGAACTTGGTTGCCAGACCGTTTTGTAAGCAGAACTTAGTTGCTAGACTAATTAGTTCTGTAAGCAAAACCTTGTTGCCAGACCGTTTTGTAAGCATAACTTATGTGCTAAGCCCTTTTGTAATAAGGACTTGGTTGCAATCTGCATCAAACAGAATGAAACAGGTTGAAGTTTTCAAACCGAGTAGAACAAACCGCAGACATCCGCAGACAAGATCTTAAAAGCAGCAGGTGTTCTGGGACTCTGGTTATCTCTGGGAAAGCTGGATGTTTTTTGGAGAGTGCACTTTCTCTACAAAATGCTTGATGTTTTTTTTAGATACCACATGTTTGGGCCAAAACTGCACCTCTACAAAATTACTACAAAAATCTACAAAATGTATGTTATTCAGAGATTCAGGGCTTTGAAACCGATATACTTACTTTTGAGATAGATTCAGATAGATAATTCCGAGCATGCATTTTGCAGGGCAGATTTTTTGGCCTGGAACAGCATGTTGTAGACCCTTTTGCAGCAGGTTGCCACTGCATTTTCTAATAAAAAGGTTCTGTTCTCTGAATTGTAACTACCCTATGGGGGGGGGCAACCCACCCCCGGCAATGTAAAACCCCATATAGTTTCGACTATTATTTTGAGTTTTGACGATGAATCATGGATGTTCCACCCTGCTATACGCACCAGACAGGCTACAAAACTGCGTTTATCATGTGCGAGCCTTTTGTGCCTAGTACAATGGTGCCTGTTCCGAAAAATGTTTTGAGGCGGACATGTTCTGAAATGAGAGGAAAACAACGTTTCCAAACAATTGATCACCTATGCTGAGGTGCATTCAAGATAGTCAACATTCACCCAAATGTTTTGGATGGAACATGTTTGACCTTTGATTTTTAAAATGCTTTGATACAACATGTAAAGATTTGAATTCATTGGTATTTGATGCAGTCAAAACTAACCCTAACTTGGTAGACTATACAATAGCCAAATCCTCGTACCATCAATCAAGAGCAGCAATACACAGTGAAAGTATAGTGAAATCACTCTATCAGAAGAATAGGTCTCATGTTTTGGTCCAGTCAAACCATTCCTTCGATTTGTTTAATCAAAGCAATTATGTCAAACTATGTGTTTTGGAATTCTCAGGGCACATCAATGGTCAAATTGTTTCAAATCCCATGTTCGAACTCTTTGGATCGCAGATGCCTAGAATAACAAACGTGACTTTCTTGAAGTTGGCTATACATCAGCATATGACAGTACATCAGCTGACAGCACATGCAAGCCGAGGGCATACAGACCAGATATCTATCACCCCCCTTTTTCATGCAATTCAAGACATACCACTATATACTATCCTGTTAAAATTGCCGATGCGAAAAACTGGTTGAGCCCCACTCTGACAATCGCATTTATTGCGGTCAACTTTGATGCTTTTTGTTTTTCCGATATTTCCAATTCTCTCTCTAAAAGGGTCTGATTTATGCTGAAGACCTTTGCAAGAAGTGATTAATGAGTAGATGGACGTTTGAGTAGTCTGGTGAATGATATATATATATATATAGGCCACCACAAAAACACCGGCAATACTAAATATGTATTGGACGGACATTGGTTTATGGAAATTGATGGAAATTGTTAAAAACACACGGTAAGCGATGGGACCTTCCCAAATTAGCGATACCCCTTTTCAAGGTTATGTCATTGTATTTTTCTAATATCCACATTAGCGATACCCAAATTGGACGTTGATTTCTGTGAATTATATATATATATATATTTAAATGTAGCTGTTTCCTGCAAGCGATACCCCCCAAGTTTACCATATATCATTATTGTACAGACGTGTGGTAAGCGATGGGACCTTCCCAAATTTGTGGATGTCCTTTCCGTGAACCTAGGGTTTTCGAGATTGCTCATGAAATGTAGCATGTATACACTGTATATGTTTCAAAAAAACAACATACATTCAGGTTCGGCCCGCCAAAATGATATCACGGAAACCAGTCGATAGGCTTGGCTGAAGTTATTGATGGGAGGGAAGCAAGTTGAGGGGGTCCGGGGGCAGAGCGGGACAAACTGGCACAAACATGGTCATGTGGGTGGTGTTTATGGTTTGTGATCTTGCAAGTTTTCCAGGCTGATGTACCGGGTAGCAAATTTCAAGGGGGTCAGAGGGGAAGGAAGCTTAGACGTGGTGCTGTGATCTTGAGAATTTTCCGAGAACGCGAATGCGTAGCAAACGGGCTGAAGCTCTTGGTGCCGTATTTTAAGTTTTTGTTAAATATAATGATTGTTTGCGTTTGTTCTGCTAGGGTGCAACTTCAGTCAACAGCGCTTTTGTCTTGATGTAATAATGTCCTTTGCGCTCTTAAAGTATTTCCTTTGCCTTTATGAAAGGCTTACAGCGCCATACCCTCTGGATTTGTTTTGCCGCTCATGCATGTATCTAGTCTGAGCTTTACAGCGTCTGGATCCGACATATTTGATGTTGTTGTTGAAATTGTTGGTTTGTTCCGATGACGGTTGTAAGTTAAGTAATAAATGGTGAGAAGTGCAAAATTTAAAGTTTAAAGGCAATATGTCCAATATATACATTTCCTTTGGTCAACTGAGTCAACTGTGTGAGTTGTGTCTGAGTAGATGCCATGTGTACTTGTACTGCAGGTTGCACTTTTGGCTGGGCCAATTATTTTAAGTATGTTTCAATGCCCACGCTTTTGTGGTACCCACTGCTTCATATAGCTATGCATTGGAATCTTGGATGACCAGCCAAACTTGCTCAGAATAACAATGGTCAAAAAACATGAAAACATTCCCAATTATCACGGTGATTATTTGACTATGTGAATTTATATACACAAACAGTTCAGTTTCAACAATAGCAGTTGGCTAGTTTAGATTGTTAAACACACGCCGGTGTTAACACAAAAGTTTGTATATCACACAAATGAAAACAGCATAAAACAGATAGATAAGAACATTATTTTGTATTATTTGGTACTGTAGTTTATTTTGTGTTTGTTAATTTGACTTTGTCATGTCTGCTGTGCAACTTAAAGTCGTATTATTGAAAAGTCTGACAGATTGACCGGGAATATGCGTGACTATGTGGTCTTATAACCCTATACATGTGCAATTTAGAGCAATAAATGGGTTGACGCGCTTTTTAGGGCCATGTGACTTTGGCTTATTTTAATTGCAGATGCATGTTTACTCCAGAATCAACTGTGGATTCTAATTCTTCAGACAGGAAGAATTGATTGCATAATATGATTGCACGTGTTTTGTTGCGTTTGTCGCACCTTTGGCGGTGGGGTCCATGCTGCGGGGTTGCTGCTACAGTTGGGGGGGCCAGGGCAGACAAAGAAAACAAAAGAAACATGTGTCTAAGACATGGAATTAACCCCAACAGTTTTTTCGACATGATTTTGTCTTGTCAAAAAAGGGAAGCAAAACATCTAGCACCCAGGTACCAAACACCAGTTTCGAACCCCTTAAAGATTCACTTGCTGGCGTTCACTTGGCCTCCGAAAGCATAGTTGGCACCTCCGGCACCCCCAGCACCAGCATCAATTTGGCCTTTGAAATTCCGCATTTTCAGCACAACAGTGTATAGACCTTCGGTATTGCCAGCAGAAACCCCCACGCTCCCCAGAACGCCCGGAACACCTAGCGCCCCCGTACCGAATTGCAAGTTGGAACCCCCCTAAGATTCAATTGCTGGCCTCAACTTGGCCTGAACTGCCCACAGCACTTAACAGCACCACTTGGCCAGCTCTCCCACCCCCGCACCTTAACAGCAGTTTCTGCGGCAATTCCATGGCCACCACTTCCAGCAACCCCTTGGCTTGGGTGAAGCTATAAGTAAATGCCGAGGTGTACATAGAGCAAGGTCACAATTTGCGGTGATCCCAGGTGCTGCCCCGCTTAGGCCAATGCTAGGCATGGGTTGACAAATAATTATTGTTCAAAGGTTGGACGGTTGGACCAACATGTTTGCTCATTTTCTTTCATATGCTCATGTGTTCCTTATTTGCGTTAAGCTGTGCTACTCCTATTTTGATTATTTTTATTGGATGTATACCTCGCGTTGGAATTCATTAGGGGCCCTTCTCTTAAGCATTTACTTCCGTCAAAATAGTTTAGACTATATTGTATCCTGTGAAAAATCGCCCAGGCGAACAACCAGTGGAGAATTGAAGCCGAACTGGGAAGTGATCCCATGGAGAGCGCCTTTGCACTCGCCTTGACAGCGGGAATCAAAGGAGTCGCGATGGTCATGGACCCGGAAGCGCAGCCCCTCACAAGTGACCCGACCAGAGGAAGGGTAATTATAAGCAATCATTCTTTTAATTTTGTTCTTTTCTGTTTTGGTTTGTTCTGATTCTATGTATGGTTGCTATCGCAATTTGCTTTTGTTTCTTTTCCTAATTATTTGCTGTTCTGTTTTTTTTCTGTTGTGTGTTTCTGTTTCTTCGTTTCGCTTTTCTGTTTCTTCGTTTGTTTGCTTCTCTGCTGCTCGGCTTCTCTGTTTTTGATTTCAATATGGTTTTTGTTTCTCTGCTTTTCTGCTCGTTAGCAGTAAATCAACCCTAAATAAACCTTAAACGGCCTTAAACCAACCCTAAACAATTCCCCAACCGACCTTAAATAGAAACTTAAAGCAACCTTCAGGAAACCCTAAACCAACCTTCAGTAACCTTAAACCCAGATAGTTAAATCCGAAACCAAACGCAGATAAACATAGGTAAACTCTCAAGAATCCCTTAACCCCAATAAACTTTGGACCAACATTTCATAAACCCTAAACCAACCCTAAACAAACCCCGATTCATCTTTAATTAAACCCTAAACCCTCAATAAATCCAAGTGTGGCCACTAGCAGCATTTGTAGCGCAATTTGAAAATAGCTGCGAAAATTATCGAAAACATGGCCCCTGCGCCACGTTTCCTACAGACTCCTAGCCCCAAGATGAAAACAATTCCCCAAACAGAATAAAAAAAAATCGCAAAACACCCTCGACAAAATGTTAAAAGAACTCCATGGATTCAGCAGCGCTATCTTGATATTTGCGTTCTTTGTGTATCGATTTCCATTTTTGCGGAAATGCTTTGCCAAAACACGGAGACTTCCCGTGCTGAGGAGTTTGGTGTTTGTTCGAATTTTTCCTGTCCAGCCGTCAGCACTTGGACCTGGTCTTCGTCACCAATGCTGGTGTGGTGGGTGATGCCGCTTGGCGGAAATGGTTTGTCTTAAAAAGTTTGGAACCCGGCAACCACTTGTTGTTTTTATGAAAAAAAACAGTGTTGGATTGTCACTGTCACTGCAAATGTCGCGGGCAAGTTCTTGGTTCTGCACGAGCACGTGTGTTCATCAGTTCTGCAAGACAAAGCAAACAAGTTGGCACGCGTCACTTTCGCATTCAAGTGAACTTGTGCAAGCAAGAAGCGGGGCCTGACGGTTTGCAAAAGAACAAAAAGGCCAACGGCCAGTATATTTTGTAATTACGCTGCTAATTCTCCACCAGCCAGACTGTCGTAAGGTTCTCCTTAGAGGCTTTGTGGGTTAGCTATGGCATGGGCCCCACATGACAATGGCTGCAGGATGGTTGCAGCTCCTTTGACGTTGCGTTGGAGATGGGCAAGAAGATAGAATCGTTGCAGGTTGAAACGTGCGAGGCATCTTCGGAGGAAGATAAGAAACTTGATTTCAGCCAAATCCGCACAGTTCATTCCTCATGGAGTTAGGAGTTCAAGTATATAATTAATTTATAATTTTGTTTTTGGGGTTGCTGTAGAAACATGTAACTTCGATCTATAAACCCATTTTTTTGAATTTCGTTTTTCTATGCCCCATTGGTCCAGAGGACCAATTTCGCCACAAAGATCAGCGGGAAATTCTAGGTCGGGTTTCTGCTCTTGAAAAACATGTTTTGAAGAAATACCTGGATCTTCGATTGGCATTTTTTCTGCTCAAGCAGTTTTTCTTTGATTTACGCTCGTTCTGAATTTTGATGTTCACTTGAACAAAAATGCGCATTTGTGTCTTGACGGACAGGTATTTACTTACGTTTTTTTCCCGGATATTTTTGCTTATTTCCCGGGAAAAGACGCTCATAATTTGGCTTCAAAATCCATGAAGTGCGAAAATGCCAAAAGTGGTGCAATTGTGCTCATGTGGAGAAAAACCGCTCAAAAAGCAGAAATCTCTCAAACGATCATTTATGTGTGTTTGTTCGAGGATACAGGTATAGATGTGAAAAGGGCGAGCGACTTATTTTGACTTCACACAACGTATTTTTGGTTGACTTGAACTTGAACTATAGTTTATATTTGTGTTAACCGTGTTTTGACTCAACAGGTGCGTTTTTGTCCTGTTGTGTATGTGTGTGTGTGTTTGTGTTTTGTGCGTTTTCTTGATTTGTCGTATAGCTAACAAAATCTTACAACATCTTAAAACTATGTTTAGCTAACAAATATGTTATGTTTGTGCAACGTTTTACAACTGTCAACCAATCATTACCACCAAAAAGAACAGATCGGCAAACAAAATAGACATGCGTTCCTTTAACGTGTATATATACCGTATATAAATATCTATATGTTTCCGTGCTAGCGTTTGTGTTGCTGCTGACTTCACATCACGTGAGCCCTGAGAATTCAATGATTTCTGGTTAGAAAACAACTCCAAACTAGAGGCAACCTGCAGGTGACTGACTGAAACTTATACAGAAAGATAACAACATTTTTTTCCTGCTTCACTCACATGATTTTCATTGAAACTTTGAACAGCAGACAATTGGAATTGTATTGAAATCAAATGAAACCACATGACACTTAATGCAAAATTTAATTTGATTCAATGCAATCACATGATTTTGCCCAATAAAGATACGGGGTTCACATAGTCAGGGTTGAGGCATGCTGAATTTGGTCCAAACGTTGTTGTAGATGACATATGTGCAGAAGTAAGAACATTATAATATGATAAAACATGAAAAGGAATGTATATAAACATGATAGATAATTATACGAGACAATCATTAATATCCAAAAATTATGTAGAAACAATCACCAGGTAGCAAACGATAACCAGGTAGGCCGTTGTTTGGGTTCAAACCCACAAGTCTTATCGCGCATTATTTTGGCAAACATTGAGTGAAACTGTGTCATGAACGAACTGTACGTTGAATGTGCTGTATGCATGTCCATAGCCTTGTCATTTCGAACATTTTTCTGAAGCCCTCTATTCGGAAGTTTGCTGCATTAAAAAAACATGTTTACCAAGCATTCAACGTGTTCCACACTTATTTAGTTTGTTTAATATGTTTGAACTTAAATGATGGGAACAGTTTTTCATTTTTTGTTTCAGGGACATTCTACTGTAACCATGTTTCTTTCCTTGGTGGTTTTGCCCAAAAGTGTCGACTCAGTTGCTTGCGAGTTTTACTGTCCAATTACTTTGTGTGTGACTGTGTGTAAAAAAAACATGGGGAGGTTGGTTTACAAGGCGCTTTATTCGCCAATTGTGGGTCTTGTTTGCACCATGTTTGGGAACGTAGATGATTCATGCTGGCAATGTGCATGTCCAATTTTCTGCAGATATTTTCCCACAAGCATCTCTGCAGCAAATGTGCGGATCAAAACCTTAAACGCAGATAGTTCCCATGCAATTTTGGATTTTCAAAGTATTTTCTCCTGAAAGTGTTGCTGGCCAAGAAATGCTGCCACACAACATTGAAACAACAGGTTCCGTATATATGGGATCCAGATACCTTCTCACAGAGTGATCGGCCTAGTGAGAATGTGATCGAGATTGAAATTGCCCCAGAAGTGTCGCAGCTCCAAGACCATTCTGGGCCGGGATGGGCCGGGCAAAATTATCAGTCAGAAACACTACAAAAATCTAAAATGTTACCAAAAAGTGTCTCATAATGTTCTTGCATCCCAGTCACCTTCTCAAATGCACTTTGGATCCTTTGGGGTTTATTTAATTGACGCGCACGTGGCCAGGCCAAGTCTTTGACCACAGGTGATTTCATGTTTTTCATTTACAAAGCACGCCTTTATATATACATGTCAGATTCGGCAATGGTGCATCAAAAGCTTGCATGTTTGATACTTGTTTTTTTCTGCGGCAAAGTTCCCCAGAAAATGATGAGTCAGAGGATCAAAATCGCAAGCTCATGGACTATGTGTAATTATATACTCAATTTGTCAACGCACTATGACTTGCAGGATTGAACCTAGATCAACGTCATACTTGACACCTTTTTCAGTTTTTGATAATATCCATCGTGTTTGACGATTTTTGGAAAGCATCGATACTTTCAGACTACTGTAAATCCCGCTTTACAATTGGACCGGCTACTCTGGTGTTTGTCCATCAACATGAAAATCTAAAACGCTAAGTTTCTATGTACATAACACAGCACTTCTGGTGTTGAATATATACAAGTTGGGTCGATTTTTTACGTTTCTTGCTTTCTTGTGGGGCATTGGTTTTGCTTGTATGTTGGGGTGGGTCAATGTTGTCTCTACCCTGAGATGATTGCGTGATTTCAGAGCTTGCTCAAGGATGCTCAAGGCTCAAGGCAAAACTGGTCACTATATTTTTGAGACAGGTTTGAAATCATACGTTCTCACCAAATTGTTCTGTGTGACAAAGTGAGAGTGTTTGTGTTTGGTTCGTTTGACATGTTTGAATATGTTTATCTAAGATTTCTAGTTTGTGTTTTAAAAAAATATTGATTGTGGCACCGAATCCACACTATAACCCAACTGAAGTTTACTGAAGGTTGATGCCTGGACCATATCAGGAATGACATTTTCCGGTACATCATCTCCGAGTTGGGAAGCCTTGAGCGAATGGATGAGCAAATCCGAGCACTGATGGCTGAGATGTTGATGCAAAATTTAGCCAACATGGAAAAGGCAACTGGAAGTCTTGTAGACCGTCTCGGCCAGGGCAGCGCAACAGTCGCAACCCTGAATGAGAAGCGTTTAAAACCACATGTTGCTTCCGGAATTCGTCAGATTTTTTCCATTTAAACAAGTCTTGTACGTGTTGTGACTTCTTGAGCACGCACAAGGCCGTGACTCGTCAGAGCTGACCCACAGCTGGCAGCGAATGAGTTTTGGCATCTCATGGCATGTTGAAAAAACGTCCAGAGATTGGGAGCTGCCGATTCCTCAACGGGTTGCTGCAGCACTTTGACGTAACTTGGAGCTGAGGAATGCTTCAGCCATCCATGTGGGATTCGGCCCCCAACCTCCATTGGCATGTGGTCACGAACCCTTGCCTGGATCATGCAGACTTTCGTAATTGACTCCACGTTGTCCCTTTACATGTTGTCCAAATCCAAAGAAATCTGCGGGTGAGCAGCTAATATAGATATAGGATGATATAGGTATGTCCAGTATGTCCCAGGGTTTCTTTGCTGCGCCAATGATTTGGTCCAACATCCCTGGCTGTTTGTGGCTGCTCGGTGCTGAGCATGCAATGAAAGGCGATGTGAAATCACACAAATCATTCGAGTGAACCTGGGAAGAACAAGTCATTCTCTATGGTAGAAAGGACTCATCACATTTGGTAGCTTCATGATATTTCATGTACTTTCATGTTAAAATGTACAATGACTTTGGCAGCCATTCTTTGGCATCAGATCGGTGTTTTTTTCTTGCGCAGCTTGGTCTCGTATATTTGATGTCTGACATTGGTGTGGTGCAACTCCTGAGGATGATCCACCTGGATTGTGCGCATTGGCTCGCCATCAGGCTGGTGTGGACAACTGGATGGGAAAGTCTGGGTCCGAAGACCAAACTCCAAAACCTGGAGGCAGTGGGGTAGGGTCAAGGCAATTGGATACTTCTTGGATCTGTAGATTGAAATTATCATGGACAAAAGTATGGGGAGGAGCCAGACATGTTGTGACTTCTTTGTTTGCCCCTCCTTTGTTGGGAGGACCTTCACATTGATACCAGGTTTATGAATTATTGAAAATCCACAGCACAGAGAAATTCAGCTGTCTCGAAGCCAACGTGAGGCGCCATGCGCCCAAGCTGCGGCCGCTGCGTTGGACCAAAGAGTGGCCAAAGACGCCACCCCCAGAGGATCGGCGACGTGGGATCTTCTCTGTAACGACGAGTTGCGGGTTACAACCGACAGGTGTGAACCCCTTGAATTGTTTGTCAGCAGGCTGGAGTTTATTTAGGGCACAAGGAGCGACAATGTACTGTATGTCAGTTGGTATGATAAACAGTGAACAAGAAAGGAATTTTGATTGAGACACATGCATCTACAATCTACATCAATCTACCAATCTACAATATAAACAGGGATGAGCACCATTGCATGAAGCTCTAACCCGCCATGAAATGAATGTTGTGTTTTCCGAAATTTGCGTAGAAATGGGATATGCCCGACATGCCCAATTTAACAGTGGATGTGCCCCATGCTCATGTCTCGCACACGTGGGAAACCACAAGATGTCCACTGATCACCCTTTGAAACGCAACCTGGCGCCGTGCAAACACGGAGCCAAAGGATGATCTACTGATTGAACATGGTCATCTTCGTGTCCCACTAATATATATATATATAGAGAGAGAGAGATACATCGGGTTCCGAAATATAAATTGGGTTTAACAAAAACATCCAGGTCGGGTAAGTGATGTGGTAATGGTAATCCACTTGCGCGACAGGAGCTGCTCACAACAGCGACTGCAACGTTGTCTAGAGACTTTTGCTACCAGCAACAGAAAAGATGCAGCACCCTGCAGGTTGTTACGTCGTGCTTGCGAAAGTGACTTTGCATGACTTTGCATTGTAAGAGGAAATGAAAGCAAGATTTCAAGACAAATGTTCTTAGAGACGTTGAGGCGCAAGGGGTCTGTGTGCATCAGGTATCTTGATTCTCATCCAAACCATAGTGCTATTTGGTTCATGTTTCCGACTCTGTGGCCACAAGTTGAGTATGTGCTGCTGCGGTTTGAAGGTTATTTTGGATTTGATAAACCACAGTGAGATTGTTGAATGGGCTGCCTATCTTTGTGGGATCAAGACTGCAGGCAAGAAGGACAGAACTCACTCAGAGATGTTTTTTTTTCCGTGGATCAAAGTCAAATGCGCTCGTGGTAAATTGCTGGATAAGCAGCCAAAATATCCAAAATGATGGGTGGCAATGCAAATGCCTTCAAGATCCTTGAACTATCACCGTTTCTCCCAAACCCAAGACTCGCGATTTGCAGAAAAGAACACAATATGGACAGCAACCGGCGGACAGCGGTGCCGAAGCGGTGGTGCGGTATTTGAGCACGCGACTTGTCAAAAGAAAAACGTGTGCTGGCACTGATGGCAAAGATCTCTTTCGGCCCTTGCTCACCATCGTCCATCCTCGATCCTCATCCTCATTTCTTCCTGTGTTTTACCATGTGTTACCAATGGTTGTGAGGGGGGTCCTGGGCAGAATGCCTCAAGTGTCATTTTTTTTGGTCACCATTCCCTTCCCCCATCCTCCATGGGCTGTTGTGGTTGACATGTGCATGCGGCTCGCGGCGCAATGTTTTGAAACTTCAGTTTAGTAGGTCTGCTCTCTGCTCATGAATTTCTGGACAACTGTATGATACCCATGGCTTGTAACTTGCAACTGCCTGGTTTTACCCCCTGGCCTCAATGTTTCCTTGTACACATTAGCTGAATCAGACCCATGGGCACATGGACATTGCCTATGACAGAGTCCTCAATAGGATGCAGCATTTATCAGCATGCAACATGGTGAGCGCAACGCCTGATGCCTGATACACCATGACTTGGCGCATGATGCAGTGGCTCCTCGCAACGATTTTCGTCATTCTTTCTCCTGCTGAGCTGCGTGTCTCGAAGCAGAGCACGACTGGACAGCAGAGCACCTCGTCTGCGGTTTCAGCCCCTTGCCGGGGGTGCATTGGTCAGGGCGTTTGAACAAGTCGAAACACGGTGGGCTACAACAGGCATCTAGTAGATGTTGCATGGCCACAATGTCTACTTGGGGGTCTTTGCCAGCCTTTGCCGTGAAATTTACCGTAAGGTAGCCAGATGGCCATCAGGTGAAGTGGCAACTCGCAACTCCAACTCCCAGAATTGGTAGATGTGTTCAAGTTAAACAGATTTGGTGCCATGGGAGGCTCAAATATATATATGTTTATCAGTGTTCATCTTTGTGTTTTATTGGATTTTTTGCTTTGCCGCCGCAAGGTAGCCACCCTGTGCCCCAACCAGTAGTTGAAACGGGTGCCAGACATTTGCAGGTGGGCCTTGCGGGTTCACAGAAAGTCGATGTTCTGTCGTGTCTTGTTGGTTTTTTTCCCGGTTACCTTGGTTACCTTCTTGGAATTTCCAAGACCCAAATATCACCGAGCTGTGCAGTCTCTGGCAGGACTGTGAAGTGATTGGCTGGGCGGAGCTTTGTGAACGAAAGAAGTTGACGGCCGGGTGCTTTCAACTCCAGTGGCTTGGTCACAGGGAATCTGAAGAATGCGATGCTTGCGTGTTGTGGGTTGGATATGGTTGGATAAAGGGGCTATATTTGGGCCAAAATTGTTTTGACATCAGATCTTTTGTCTTTGGTTTGTCCATTTTGTCCTGCTGAAGACATGCACTGTTTGGTTCCGGAAATTCAGAGGTGTCACCTAAAAGACGTTAATTCTCCTTCAATGAAAATTCAAACATATACTTCATTCATCTTCATTCAAGCCCTGCAGAAACTTCTGAGTCCCGCGAAAAACCGAGGCCCATCGCGGCAGCGCCACTCTGCGAGCTGCAAGGGCCGCATGGGGCGCCGGCGCAGCTGCGCCCAGCGACTGCCGGGATTCTGACCTTGACATCCGCGGAGCTACGCATCACCGGGTGCCTTTGAGGAAATCATGTCTGATTCCATGATGGTTCTGAGCCAAGTTTGGTCACGGACCTGGTCGTCGCTTGGCAAGCTTTGTTGTTCTTCAAGAGAATCTTCCAAAAGTTCCTTCAACGGATATAGTTTGACCGTTGACACGTTTGATTCCATGGATATAATTAGTCGGTGCAGAAACTTCGCGCAGCTCCCAAGGCAAATTCAGATGACTTCCCTCCGCCTGGCAGCCAAGAACCTTGCCTGCACCAGGGGCTGCAGATAGCGAGTCCAAAACTATTTGTGTGTTTTTAGTCATTGCACTACAAACAATTTCTTATAGAATGCAAAAAGACACACGCAGAATGGGGGAGTTCAGATTTACATTATGCAGAGATCAGGGTGCCATGTGATACCATGAAGAATTCAACTGAGGACTGTGAACTTTGCAGATGCTCACGTCGAAGCCTGGCATGAAGCCCCATCGGATCCAAACTCCAACGCATCTGGTGGTGCCTTTTTCAGCGAGGGGTCATTCACTTTGACCAGATCCCGCCTGAAAGTTCCTTGGGTTGTTTAAAAAATCAGTATTTTGTTTCGCTCTTAGTGTCAGAATCTTTCTTGAAACTGCATCAATGGCCGTGGAATGCCGTGGATGATTTTGGAGTAAGCTGCAGATACCCATGATCCAACAACAAACGAAGGTGAGAGATGTTCGCGCTACTACTATGGATGGTGGTGGCTTCGCAGCGGGCGGAGACCTGACCCTGGGTGGCATTGCAGGGGCACAGGTGTAGTCGTTGGATGTCCTTTGGGTGTGGGATGCAATGGACCATACGCCATACGCATTCATTAAGTATCTGCTGAGGGAATTCCATCTTACCAACATGGTGAGAATTTGTCAGCTATGAAGTTTTCATTCTGGCAGGGACCGTGGCTCTCATCAGGTGGTCTTGAGGTTTGGGTTGTCGCTTGGGCACTTCGTATCTCGTGACATTTCAGTTTGTTTTGAGATACGCTTTTTCCGGAGATATTTATGTGTGAACTTCATGGAACATGGGATGCACGGGGCAATGGTCCGAGGTGCAGAACTAGAAAATCCTTAGATCCCTTAGGAAGGCAGGCTGTCTAAGGAGCAGCCTGGGACACAGTCGAATTCAAAAAAGGCCATGGATTGCAGAAGGGGATTCGTCGTCGTTTGTCGTCCATGGAAAATGTGGAAACCGTAAAAGGTATTGCTGATCGCAGAAAGAACAAGAGCAGAGTCAACGCAGAGAGGCATATGTAAGTAATCAAAGGAAGTTTAGGGGGAGAAACTTCCGTGTTACGGACTTTTAGAATGTCAGGGAAAGAGTTAGTCAAAGAAACAGTTAGTGAGGGAAAGAGTTAGTCAAAGAAAGAGATAGTGAGGGAAAGAGTTAGTCAAAGAAAGAGTTAGCAAAGAAACAGTTAGTGAGGGAAAGAGTTAGTCAAAGAAAGAGTTAGTCAAAGAAACAGTTAGTCAGGGAAAGAGTTAGTCAAAGAAAGAGTTAGTGAGGGAAAGAGTTAGTCAAAGAAAGAGTTAGCAAAGAAAGAGTTCGTCAGGGAAAGAGTTGGTCAAAGAAAGAGTTATAGTCAAAGAAACAGTTAGTCAGGGAAAGAGTTAGTCAAAGAAAGAGTTAGTGAGGGAAAGAGTTAGTCAAAGAAAGAGTTAGCAAAGAAACAGTTAGTCAGGGAAAGAGTTTGTCAAAGAAAGAGTTAGTGAGGGAAAGAGTTAGTCAAAGAAAGAGTTAGTCAAAGAAACAGTTAGTCAGGGAAAGAGTTAGTCAAAGAAAGAGTTAGCAAAGAAACAGTTAGTCAGGGAAAGAGGTAGTCAAAGAAACAGTTAGTCAGGGAAAGAGTTAGTCAAAGAAAGAGTTAGTGAGGGAAAGAGTTAGTCAAAGAAAGAGTTAGCAAAGAAACAGTTAGTCAGGGAAAGAAAGAGTTAGTCAGGGAAAGAGTTAGTCAAAGAAAGAGTTAGTGAGGGAACGAGTTAGTCAAAGAAAGAGTTAGCAAAGAAACAGTTAGTCAGGGAAAGAGTTAGTCAAAGAAAGAGTTAGTGAGGGAAAGAGTTAGTCAAAGAAAAAGTTAGCAAAGAAACAGTTAGTCAGGGAAAGAGTTAGTCAAAGAAAGAGTTAGTGAGGGAAAGAGTTAGTCAAAGAAAGAGTTAGTCAAAGAAAGAGTTAGTCAGGGAAAGAGTTAGTCAAAGAAAGAGATAGTGAGGGAAAGAGTTAGTCAAAGAAAGAGATAGTGAGGGAAAGAGTTAGTCAAAGAAAGAGTTAGCAAAGAAACAGTTAGTCAGGGAAAGAGTTAGTCAAAGAAAGAGTTAGTGAGGAAAAGAGTTAGTCACAGAAAGAGTTAGTCAAAGAAATTGTTCCCGCAGTGTAAATGGGATTGCAAGTGGTGCTGGTGGATGAGTTGCCGATGGAGTTTTGAAGGAAGTCTCGCACGAAATGCGTCTTTGAGAGATAGCAGATGCACGAAAGCCTATGTTTTTCCATACAAAGTCCGTCCCCGAACGTCGATGATCTACCTCTGCGGTGCGACGGGTGCGAGACGGTCTCGTGTGTGGTCGGATCATTCTCGGATATTCTCGGATATTCTCGGATCGGTCTCGGATCGGTTCCGCATTGTAAATGGGGTTTCAACTGTTTTTCGTGCATGTGTGGTCGACAGAATTCCATTGTGATTTGCAACTGTAGGATCGTTCCCGCATTGTAAATGGGGTTGCAAGTGGTGCTGGTGGAGGAGTTGCCGATGGAATTCCATTGTGATTTGCAACTGTAGGATCGTTCCCGCAATGTAAATGAGATCGCAAGTGGTGCTGGTGGAGGAGTTGTCGATGGAGTTTTGAAGGAAGTCTCGCACGAAATGCGTTTTTGAGAGATAGCTTGAGTGGCTGCATGAAGGCTGCGACAGTGATTTGGGGTCAACTGTTTTTCGTGCATGTGTGGTCGACAGAATTCCATTGTGATTTGCTCCATTGTAAATGGCAAGCTGGTGGAGTGATGGAATTCCATTGTGATTTGCAACTTCGTAAAAATCAAGTGGTGCTGGTTTAATGGAGTTTTGAAGTGCTTCATAAATCACAGTCTTTTCTTTCGTGATTTTCCTTCTGGCTTCAAAATCGTCGCTCTGGCGTCGAGATCCGGTTTTGGAGCTACAATTTCCGACGCCATTGCGCGTAGTTCTATTGTGTTTTGCAACTCAGTCTCCGCAGATCGCATTGGAATGGCTGCGTCAAGGTTGCTTCTTGCTTTGGCTGCATGCGTAATGTCTCTTGCAGCTGGATCTCGTAAATCGTATTGGAGTGGCTGCATGAAGGCTGCGACAGTGATTTGTTAGCAGATTTTCTCCATTTTGGCGCTAGTGATTTTCCTTCTAAAAATCCTTTTAAAAAGTGCTTCAAAATCGTCTTTTTTTCGCTCTGGCGTCGAGATCCGGTTTTGGAGCTACAATTTCCGACGCCGTTGCGCGTAGTTCTCTTGTGTTTTGCAACTCAGTCTCCGCAGATCGCATTGGAATGGCTGCGTCAAGGTTGCTTCTTGCTTTGGCTGCATGCGTAATGTCTTTTGCAGCTGGATCTCGTAAATCGTCTTGGACTGGCTGCATGAAGGCTGCGACATGGATTTGTTAGCAGATTTTCTCCATTTTGGCACTAGTGTTTTTTTGTTGCACGTAGGTTTAGAGCAGTGTGAAGTGTGGGGCGTGGAGAGTGCAGTGTGAAGTGTGCAGTGTGAAGGAAGCAGTGGGAAGTGAGAAGTGAGAAGTGTGGAGTGTGAAGTTTAAGTTTGGAGTGCGAAGAGCGCAGTGTGAAGTGTGAAGTGTGAGGTTTGGAGTGTGAAGGAAGCAGTGAGAAATGAGAAGTGTGAAGTGTGGAGTCTGAAGTGTGAAGTGTGATTTTTTTCAGATTTTGGCTGTTTGCAAACAACAAAGCTTGGCAAATGCAATTTTTGCGTTTTGGCATCGAGATCCGGTTTTGAAAGCTCGTTTTGTATAGCCTGAGGCAGTGCATGTGTAGTTTCAGGTCTGCCAGGCTGTGTGCGAATTGTGCATGTTCCCGCCGCCGTTGTTTGGGTCATGCATGCGAATAAATCGATTCGGTGAGAACACGATCATATATAGCAAGCATGCAACATAGCCATCATATATAACGTCTTACGTGAACAAGTGTCAACAAACATCACGCATGTACACGATACAACCTTGCAACTGCGTAGACTCGCAACGCGTACGTGCGACGTTCTGGTCCGCGGAAGCGTGGGTACGTGCGACGCTGTGGTCCGCGTAGGCTAGCGCCATGGAATCGTCGCTGTTCGAAGACTTTCTTTGTTTCTTGCAGAAAGAAGAGCTTTTGTTGAAGGCTTTGCGCGCCACGGATTTGAAAGCATGCTTGCGGACAGGGACAGGCACCAGAGGATACGAAGCAAATGAAGAGCGAGCCAAGTAATTATTACAGAACTTACAATAAGATTGAGAAGCAAGTAACGGCTGACCAAAAAGCGACTCTAATGGATTGGGAACGAAGGCTTTGCAGTGAGGCGGAGGACATTGATTTCGCAGGTTTGCTTACAATACTGGAAAACCGTCAAGATGACTTGCGAGAAATGCAAAAAACAAGTCTCCAAGCATGCTTTAACAGCAACCTGAGCAAGACAGACAAGGACTTAAAGTTTTGCCAAAATTTCTTCAAACGCAAAAAAACCAGTATGACAGATGAACAGCAAAAGGTTGTGGATGAATGGGAGGAGATCATTTGTGCCGATGGTGCGGGGTTATGTCCTGCCATCGATGCAGATTTCGCACGTTTGCTTACTATACTTGAAAACCGTCAAGATGACTTGCGACAAATGCAAAAAACAAGTCTCGAAGCATGTTTCAACAGCAGCCTGAGCAATACAGACAAGGACTTAAAGTTTTGCCAAAATTTCTTCAAGCGCAAAAAAGCAAGTATGACAGATGAACAGCAAAAGGTTGTGGATGAATGGGAGGAGATCATTTGTGCCGATGGGTTTGCAGATTTCGCACTCTTGCTTACTATACTTGAAAACCGTCAAGAGTACTTGCGAAAAATCCGAAAAGCAAGTCTCGAAGCATGTTTCAACATTAGCCTGAGCAATAGAGACAAGGACTTAAAGTTTTGCCAAAATTTCTTCAAGCGCAAAAAAGCAAGTATGACAGATGAACAGCAAAAGGTTGTGGATGAATGGGAGGAGATCATTTGTGCCGATGGTGCGGGGTTATGTCCTGCCATCGATGCAGATTTCGCACGTTTGCTTACCATACTGGAAACTCGTGAAGATGACTTGCGACAAATGCGAAAAACAAGTCTCGAAGCATGTTTCGGGACACGTGTCAGCAATGCAGACAGTGATCTTGGTTTTGGACGGAACTTTTTCCGTCGGCAGAAAGATATGTTGACGGATGAGCAGCGCAAGGTTCTTGAGGACTGGTCTTCCAAGATTTGTTCCCATGAGGATGTTGATGACGGTTTTCGGCGCTTCCTTGCAACTTTGCATGCTCGAGCACAGGAGCTGTTTGCCTTGCGCAAATGTGACCTGAAAGGCATCTTTTCGTCCCATATTTGCAAAAAAGATTCGGAGTTGAAATTTTGTCAAAACTTTTGGCGGCGCAGTGCAGAAAAATTGAGTGCCGAGCAAAAGGAACAAGTGGAGGATTTGAAAGCAGGAATTCTTTGGCCTCATGCGCAAGACGATCGTGCGGCGTTGCGGCCCGCGGTTGTCAGGATGTTGGACAAATTTGAAAACATACTTGCACGCAGAGAGGCAGAATTTCGCGGCTTTGGGGCTGCAAGTGTTTATGGTCTGTCTACCGGGCACGCGAAGAAATCTGATTCTGAGGTTAGATTTTGCTACGATTTTGTCAACCGTGTGTTTCCCAAACTGGAAGACTCGGAGCAACAGCGACTTCGAATCAAACTGGATGACCTGTTGTTAAAAAGCTGCTCTGTGCCCGTGAAAAGTAGTTACCAGGCCAAACTACACGATGCAGAGACTGTCTTGGGCGACGCTCTTCCACGCCCAAGACTGCCGAAAAGTTTACAGCTACGTAACGCGGTCACAACGGACAGTACAGTTACTATGTCGTACATGCAAGACGTACCAACTAACGCTCAGTGCTTATTGTCGAAGTACGTCGTTACGGACTGCTTTTACCTTTGCCATGGCGCTCGCCGCATACGACTGGCTGGTATGGAAGGATAGAGCTGCTAGCTTTCTGCGGGCTCACCCTCGGGAAGTTGCGCTGCAACTCACTTGGGGTCAGCGACTGGTGGTTCCGGGAGCTCGTGAGGCATACGCAGTCGCAACCTATGAACGAGAGGCCATGGGTCGTAGCCTCGGCGCGGCGCCATGCAACTTGTGTGGATGCTGGACACATAGCTGGTGTGAAGCTTGCAAAACACGTCCGCCCACTGCAATTTGTTCGACGTGCGACGCGGCCAAACTCTTGTGTCAGTCTTGCACGTCGTGTCACCAGCTGGTTTACTCCGAGGCTTCACAGAAGCCACAATAGCAACGTCCTTGCCTCCTGGAACTGGACGTGCGAAGTTGTGTTCCGCGTCCAGCATGGTCGAGACGGCGCTGGAGAGTCAGACAAGCACGGCGGCAAGTGTGCAGCCATCTGTGGTGAAATGACTAGAGCGCCAAAAGTTCAGATTGGGGCCATTGGAGAAAGCCGAAATCTCTGGTACCAAAGCTCAGTGCGCAGAATGGCTCAACATCTTGCACAGCAGTACGTGGTCTTGCCGCAGAGGGATCAACTCTAGTTTGACTGCCGAGGGCTGGGTGTGCGTTGTTGTGAACCGCATCCGAGTCTGAATTGCTGTACTTCAGTAACTTCGCTTTTCATGTCGAGTTGCAGACGGCAGAATGCCTCTGTCACTTAATTTTGGTTTCTGTGTGCGTTGTTAGTTACGAACCGCACAAGAAACCATGATCGTATTGCATACATGTGACAAAAAAAAGGATCTTTCAGATTTTCGCTGCTTTCATTTTCTATTTCAAATCAACTTTTTCTGCTCTGGCGTTGAAGTGTGAAGGAAGCAGTGGGAAGTGTGAAGTGTGAAGTGTGAAGGAAGCAGTGGGAAGTGAAAAGTGTGAAGTGTGGAGTGTGAAATTTCAGTTTGGAGTGCGAAGAGCGCAGTGTGAAGTGTGAAGTGTGAGGTTTGGAGTGTGAAGGAAGCAGTGAGAAGTGAGAAGTGTGAAGTGTGGACTGTGAAGTGTGAAGTGTGAAGTGTGAGGTTTGGAGTGTGAAGGAAGCAGTGAGAAGTGAGAAGTGTGAAGTGTGGACTGTGAAGTGTGAAGTGTGGAGTGTGAAGTTTCAGTTTGGAGTGCGAAGAGCGCAGTGTGAAGTGTGAAGTGAGTGAGAAGTGTGAGAAGTGTGAAGTGTGAAGTGTGAAAGTGTGGAAGTGCGAAGTGAGAAGTGTGAAGTGTGAAGTTTGGAGTGGGAAGGAAGCAGTGAGAAGTGAGAAGTGTGAAGTGTGGAGTGTGAAGTGCGAAGTGAGAAGTGTGAAGTTTGGAGTGTGAAGGAAGCAGTGAGAAGTGTGGACTGTGAAGTGTGAAGTGTGAAGTGTGGACTGTGAAGTGTGGACTGTGAAGTGTGGACTGTGAAGTGTGGATGTGAAGTGCGAAGTGAGAAGTGTTAAGTTTGGAGTGTGAAGGAAGCAGTGAGAAGTGTGGACTGTGAAGTGTGAAGTGTGAAGTGTGGACTGTGAAGTGTGAAGTGTGCAGTGTGAAGTGTGCAGTGTGAAGTGTGAGGTTTGGAGTGTGAAGGAAGCAGTGAGAAGTGAGAAGTGTGGAGTGTGAAGTTTGAAGTTTGGAGTGCGAAGAGTGCAGTGTGCAGTGTGAGGTGTGGAGTGTCGAGGGAAAGACACGGTCGGGACAGGATGTCTTTGAACTATATATGGGTCATTTATGTTTGGGAAACTTCCGCCGCCGGCTTGCCCGGGTCCATGTGATTAAGTAAGTACGCCAAGAACATGATTGGCTTTTCTGGACTCTCTTGGCATACAAGTCAATTTTGGTGCTTCCCTTGCTACATACGCCAAAAACATAATTGGCCTTTCTGCTTCTCAATTGGCATACAAGATGCGGTGGTGGACGCAAAACTCCTCTGATGTTCACCTGTTCAATGCGGTGAGATTCGGTCCCCAAGGAATGTGCGCCAAGACTCTGAAGTTGTGATCGAGAACGTTTCAGCAAAGTCTGGTGCTGGTTTCTTCGCCACGGGAAATGTCTACATTTCGGTGGGGCACTCAGTGCGTTCGCTGCCATGCTGGAGAGCTATGTACAAGGACGCTAACAGGCTCATTCACAGCAATTTCAATTCCCATGTACACATAGACATGTACTGTATATTTTGTGACTCCCACGGACACGTTGCTGAAAGACACGTCTCGTTTGATTTGTTTGTTCTCTCGACTGCATGACCCTTGTGCTATTGCTGATTGGCTCAGGACGACTCAATGATCTTCATTCAGAATGCGAGGTCCACGAAAAGTGGAAGAGGTTTTCGCACAGAAAATGGCTTGAAGGTGTCCAACGGCTCAAGGCTCGTCATTCGGAATGCGACTGCTGGAAAGCACGCAGGAGGACTCTGGGCTTCGGGCAAGACCTTGATCAGCAGGTCCACAGTCACCATTCAAAATGCCACGGCCCAGCAGCATGGTGGAGGGTTTTGTGCTGCTGATGAGGTTGTCATCGATGAGATGTCAAGCGTCAGCATTTCCAGTTCAAGATCGGGGCAACAGGGCGGAGGCTTCCAGACAGACAGAAGCTTGCAGGTGAGCAACAGCTCAGGTCTAAGCCTTGAGAATGTGACTGCTGGAAACCATGGAGGAGCTTTCGCTGCCCATGGGGAGGTTGATATTGTTGGGTACTCGGCCGTCAACATTTCCAATAGCCGCGCTGAATCAGGAGATGGAGGAGGTTTTGACACTGAAAAGGGCTTGAAGGTGTCCAACGGCTCAAGACTCATCATTCGGAATGCAACAGCTGGAAATTCAGGCGGAGGATTCTATGCCAAAGGCAAGACTACCATCACCAGGTCCACCGTCAGCATTCAAAATGCCACGGCCCAGAAGCATGGTGGAGGCTTTGATGCATTAGATGAGGTTGTCATCGATGAGATGTCAAGCGTCAGCATTTCCACTTCAAGATCGGGGCAACAGGGCGGAGGCTTCCAGACGGACAGACGCTTGCAGGTGAGCAACAGCTCAGGTCTAAGCCTTGAGAATGTGACTGCTGGAAACCATGGAGGAGGTTTGATTGCCCATGGGGAGGTTGTGATTGTTGGGTACTCGGCCGTCAACATTTCCAACAGCCGCGCTGAATCAGGAGATGGAGGAGGTTTTCGCACTGAAAAGGGCTTGAAGGTGTCCAACGGCTCAAGACTCATCATTGGGAATGCGACAGCTGGAGGGTCTGGAGGAGGATTCTATGCCAAAGGCGAGACCTTGATCAGCAGGTCCACCGTCAGCATTCAAAATGCCACGGCCCAGAAGCATGGTGGAGGCTTTGCTGCATTAGATGAGGTTGTCATTGACGAGATGTCAAGCGTCAGCATTTCCACTTCAAGATCGGGGCAACAGGGCGGAGGCTTCCAGACAGACAGAAGCTTGCAGGTGAGCAACAGCTCAGTTCTAAGCCTTGAGAATGTGACTGCTGGAAACCATGGAGGAGCTTTCGCTGCCCATGGGGAGGTTGAGCTAGCTGGGAATTCGACGGTCAAGATTTCCAACAGTCGAGCTGAAGCCCGAAATGGAGGAGGTTTTGACACAGAAAATGGCTTGAAGGTGTCCAACGGCTCAAGGCTCATCATTCGGAATGCAACAGCTGGAAATTCAGGCGGAGGATTCTATGCCAAAGGCAAGACTACCATCACCAGGTCCACCGTCAGCATTCAAAATGCCACGGCCCAGAAGCATGGTGGAGGCTTTGATGCATTAGATGAGGTTGTCATCGATGAGATGTCAAGCGTCAGCATTTCCACTTCAAGATCGGGGCAACAGGGCGGAGGCTTCCAGACAGACAGAAGCTTGCAGGTGAGCAACAGCTCAGTTCTAAGCCTTGAGAATGTGACTGCTGGAAACCATGGAGGAGGTTTGATTGCCCTTGGAGAGGTTGATATTGTTGGGTACTCGGCCGTCAACGTTTCCAACAGCCGCGCTGAATCAGGAGATGGAGGAGGTTTTGACACTGAAAAGGGCTTGAAGGTGTCCAACGGCTCAAGACTCATCATTCGGAATGCGACAGCTGGAAATTCAGGCGGAGGATTCTATGCCAATGGCAAGACTACCATCACCAGGTCCACCGTCAGCATTCAAAATGCCACGGCCCGGCAGTACGGTGGAGGGTTCAGTGCTGAAGGAGTCGCAGTTATCCAGGATTCTACCGTGGCCATGTTCAGCACCGATGCCGGGGCAGATGGTGGTGCTTTTTCCGTGTTTGGTTTGACTTTGCACAGAAGTCAAATGTCGGTCAGCCACTCCACAGCGCTCGGATCGGGTTTCGGAGGTCGTGTAGTTGGTCAAGTGCTTCTTTCAGCACAGTCTACGTTGGTGGTGAAGGATTCCCAAGGTCTCGACAATTCCAGCGTGCTAACTGCAGGTTGCCTCCACCTACGTGATCGGTCACGCATTCTCTTTGAAGATGCCCGTGGTGGCCATGGGGTGCAGCTGCAAAATAGTGGATGCTCTGACGTTTGCTCAAACAGCACGTTCTATGTCGAAGCGGATGCAGCCCTCAACGCCAGTGGTCGCTTGAGCTCCGGTTTTCTCTCCCTTGCATCCTGCCCGAAGGAGAAGGTACATCTCTCAGGCATCCACCTGCACTCCTGGTCCAGCGCGTTGCTCAGCACCCGGCCCAGTTCCGTGATAATCGGCCAAGTGACTATCGACTATGAACCACCTATCGACAATTTGCAGGTCCTGGCTGCCAAGGACGGGCTCAAGGTGTCAGCAGGCGACAGTGTGGGATGACGGCTTTTCCAAGCTGTGAGAGATTTTGGATGTTCGGATTTTGACTAACTTGTCAGAAAAAGTAGTCCTGGCAGGTCGGACCAAGGTATGTTTGTCTCTGGACTTTGGTTTTCCAATTAAATTGCGTCATGTTTGAAAGCCAGCAACTCGTTGAACTAAAGTCGCAGCAGGATGGCTTTGAGATCGACTCTTTAACGGTTTCCTGCCGGAACTGCCCATGGGGCGTGACTTTCAACGCTACGAAGGACAGAAGTCTGAAAGCCGTGAGCTCTGAATATCTCAAATGCTCCAAGACCGTCACAGTGCCACTTGGTGTCACAAGTGTTGGCTCTCCCTTACCACCAACTTAGTTGTATGATGTATGTTTGTTGATATGTCAAAATTATCCAGCCTCCCTAATTTCTACTCCAGGCGCTAAAACGGATTTCCTCTGTATTCATAGAACGATAGACGTTTCAGGTGCAGTTTGTTGCTATACTCATATCTGTCTAACAAGTGTTTTACATATGTTTCAAACTGCATGTCCGATATTTCCTGGAAACTGCGTTTTGAGGTCCAAAGGCCTGACGCAACGTTGCAAGTGTTCCAACTACCAGTCTCTCAGCTCGCTGGTGTCTTTTTCTTTTTCTGAATGTTAGTTTTCCTACCGATTGGTCTTGAAGGGCGAAACCATGCGAAATCCACGTGCTGATCAATAAATATGCCATGTGCATCCATGTGCCATATCAGCCATTTTGCAAGATTTGGAAGACGTCGCATTTTCCAGACACAGTTTAACACCCCAATAACTGTCTCTTCAATTTTTGATAGTTTTTAGGGCTGAGCACTGCTTGAATCCTGCGGATGCCAGACGGAAGGATTGCAACCGAGCACTTCCGTGGTGTAGATATGGTGCCCTTGGAAAGCAGTTTCCAGACGTGCATGTTCTGTAGCTCGTCCTGCAACATGTGTATCCCATTGGAACCCTTTGGCCCTTTGGGATTTTGTGTGCAATCGGTTTTAACATGTTTTGACCCCTGCCCTGTTTGTAGCTGAGGCAAGCCTCACTTCCACTTTCAGAATGGCGATTGCCCGAAATGCGGAATCTTCAGTGCTTGGTCTGATGGCAAGAAGGATGTTTGTCACGTTCTGCCACGCCAGAACTCAGCAGAGTTGTTCGCACTTTTGACAGGTGCAGCTGTCGTGGTCATTTTAACCTTCCTTGCCTTTGAGATTTTGCATGCTCCTTTGATGATCGTTGATGCAAAATCATATTTGGACCCAAGGCAAGCTGAAAGCAATACAATTTTCACATTTTCCGTGCAGGGGCCGATTGTTGATCTTCCCAAAAGCCTGTCTCGATTGGTGAACCGAAGGGTGCATTTTCGGGCAAGGGGAACGGGATTGATATGGCTAGACTACGACCAGAAGAAGTCCAACACAATCAAAGTTCGAAGTATTGCGCGCAGAAAGCTTTTGCTGCAAGACACGAGTCCCCCATTTTTTTGCGCTTCGTGCAAGGGTTCTTTGCACGCCACTGATATTTTTTACCTGCTCAGCCTGCTCACCGTATGCATATTTGTTGGTGCAATGCTGCCTGTCATCATCAAGGTAGCAGTCATATCCGGAAACGGTGTGGGACATGTCTTCGCCGCTTTGGCCCGCAAAGAGATTTGTTTTTGTGCACAAGGGAATCTATAATCAGGTGCTTTATTTTGAGAGTTTTAGTATGTTTTAGTTTGGATTTGTGCATTGCCGTGATGGAACGACACTCTGCGCCAAGGTTACTGCAATTTATGTGACCCTTCCTTTGGTTGCTGTTGCTGCGCTGCTGCACTTCCCGATCGCGTGGCTGATCCGACGGCTATATCGTAGAACGTCATTTTCGGAGGCTTTGGATGAGTACCGGAAGCAGATCAACTGCAAGCCATTTCCAGGGCCTGATGGAACCCATCCTCGCAACCAGGGCTTGCAGGTTCTGAATTTGCGCGGCTTGTGGATGCACTTCGAGAGTTTCTCTTCTCACCAGCAATGCTTTTGTCGAGCTCGTGTGCTCACATAACAAGCTCGTTTCACATCAATGCTCGGATCTGAATGGACGGACAGAGTATCTTCTTTCTGTTCACGTCAGCAAAGAATCGTATTTAAGAGAGAAAACATGTCCCAACTTGTTCAATTCAGGCTTTATTCTCGAGCGCAATATGCACTTTGTGGTTGCCAACATAGTGAGGCCCCTAACACAAAGCAAAGGAGTTTCCTTTGTAAGTCTTTGGGGTGGCAGGCAGGTGGATTACTTTGTGTCACTTGGCATGCTTTTGGCAAAGTTGTTTTTGAATTGTTTTCTTCCAACCTTTGCGTACCTTTTGCCCAAGCCCCTCCAAGCCTCCCCTGCGTTTTGGGTAAGGTCCCATTCCTGGGGCACCAGCTTTCCGCACTTTGTGCAGTCTATCCAGTGCCATGCTCTGTCCAAAGAGGGCCCCACTTCTTGGATCGATGCAGCATATTGGATCTGTTCATTTGCAACTTGGAGGAGAACACTAGCCCATTTTCACGGTGCTATTTGTGTTTGAAGAATATATAGTGGCACAGCGTGCAACCCTATAATTCCATGGGGGTTTGCATTTTCACTATATAGTGGTGGGTTGACCCACTGTGCAAAGTGCGTTTTCGGGCCTCAAATTGTAAAGAAAATTGGGGTTGCTCGCCCCGACTGTGTAGAAAAGTGATGCCTTCTTGGCATCTATGTTTTCCAACAGTCATTTTGTAGAGAGCCATGTGTTTCAGATAGGTGAGGTGGAGAAGCATTGTGTAGGGTCACTTGGCTTTAAGGAAACCGAAGGCTTCAGTTTGTAGAAAGCCAAATCTGCCTTTTTTTGGTGGAAAAGGATCCGGCATGCCATTTCTGCTACAAATTGGTATGGCCTGTGGCCATTATAGAGGCTCTTTATTGTAATTAGTCAGGTTGTAGGGAAATCTGAGACCTTGGGCCATTGCAGCTTGTAGCAGATTATGTGATTCTGGGTCCGGGGTCCATCCCCGCCGGACTCAAACATTTTGCAGGGAGATTGAGGCACTAAAGTGATGACTAAAGTGGTTGCCAGACTTTTTTTTCAAAGCAGAGCTTGGGTGCTAAACGGTTTCGTAAGTAGAACTTGGTTGCCAGAGAGTTTTGCAAGCAGAACTTGTGTGCTAAAGCCTTTTGTAATATGACTTGGTTGCCGGAAGAACTTCTGTGGAAGCCGTACCATCTATGCCAGATACATGTTGTAGACATTTGGGGGTACGCGCCCCATTTTGTAATATAAACAGGGGGCGCATAAAGTATAAACAGGGGGTGCATAACCCCTCCACCGTTTTGTAAGAAGAACTTGGTTGCCAGACCGTTTTGTAAGCAGAACTTAGTTGCTAGACTGTTTAGTTCTGTAAGCAGAACCTTGTTGCCAGACCGTTTTGTAAGCATAACTTATGTGCTAAACCCTTTTGTAATAAGGACTTGGTTGCAATCTGCATCAAACAGATTGAAGCAGGTTGAAGTTTTCAAACCGAGTAGAACAAACCGCAGACATCCGCAGACAAGATCTTAAAAGCAGCAGGTGCTCTGGGACTCTGGTTATCTCTGGGAAAGCTGGATGTTTTTTGGAGAGTGCACTTTCTCTACAAAATGCTTGATGTTTTTTAAGCAGTCGGATCTTTTACCGGCCCACAAATTCGACATTTTTGTTACATGTCATCTTAAACCTCTTGGGGTGGGGGTTGGGTGGGGTGGAGTGGGGCATGTCAACGTTCGTTTGCACTTGCGTCATGAAGTTGATGCTACGTCACGCATGGGGTTGGGGTTGGGTGGAGTGGGGTGGGGCATGTCAACGTTCGTTTGCACTTGCGTCATGACTGAAGTTGATGCTACGTCACGCATTGGGTTGGGGTTGGGTGGGGTGGGGCATGTTAACGTTCGCTTGCACTTGCGTCATGAAGTTGATGCTACGTCACGCATGGGGTTGGGGTTGGGTGGGGTGGGGCATGTTAACGTTCGCTTGCACTTGCGTCATGAAGTTGATGCTACGTCACGCATGGGGTTGGGGTTGGGTGGGGTGGGGTGGGCCATGTTAACGTTCGCTT